TTCAGTTTGCCATGGCTGTTAATGAAATTGCCTTAGCAAACATCGTGCACAAGTTCGATTGGGCATTGCCCGATGAAGCAAGTGGGGAGGATTTAGACATGACAGAAACCACTGGTTTAACCGCACATAAAAAATATCCTCTCAAAGCTGTTGCTTTTCCACACTTCTAAGTTGAGAAATAGGGAGGGTAGTTTCATATTATTGTCTAAGGCTCTAAGAGTATCCACAATCATGCTCTCTATTTTTCAGTTAAATTTGAGTGGTGATTTCCCCACTCCTTTTTCTCATATTTTATCCACTTAAGTGGATAAAATAGGAGTGGGGAAATCATTGCCCTTAAATTTTAGCTAAAATCGTATAAAAGTTATTTTATACATGCTATAAAATTTATTCTATAAAATTTAAACTCCAATCATGCTCTCTAGTTTAGGGAGTCATAAATGCTATAACTCTTTTTTAATTGGTCAATCTCTATTAAAAAAATAAGATAAAAAAAATAAAAAATAAAAAATAAAAGTTTGAAATACTCATTAAATAAAGCAGCATTAAATTATAAGGAGTCACTCGGAGTCCTTTCTCTCTCATCAGATTTAGGAGCTCCTAGAGGTCTCCCTATTTTAGTAGGTGGATAGGGAGTATGGTTGAAGATGTATTTTTCCAAATCCTCCCTAAAATTTGTCTAAGGAGGTGGTTTAAGGAGCCCATTGTAGATGCTCTAAGCCTGTTACCAACACTGTTAGCACAATAAGAATTGTCCAAATATTATGTAATATTCTATTTTGTTGTTGTCTTCTGCCCAAGCGGATGAACTCTTGTGGACTAACTCATCCCTAGAAGAAGAACAGCAACAAAAAATTTCTTGACAATGAGATCATGATGTTGAACATATATGTAGCTTATTGTGACATGAATTTTGACCCTTAAAAAATGATCTTGGGTTTCCATTTTTTCATTTTTGGTACATGGATTTTGACTCTTATCCCAATTTTGTATCTCCCAAAAAAAAAAAAAAAAAGTCTTACATTTAGTTTTTAATTTTTTTTTTTAAGTAGCAATTTAAACAGTGTTTAAACAATTAACATCTACATGTTATCGGTAATTTGCCTATATTTATGTTTTCTTTTTAATTTTCATCTCCCGCCAAGTATTATTCCATACGTGTGGGCATAATGTTTTGGTGTTGCTTGCAGTGTGGTGTATCATCTCTACTCGTAAAATATTCAAATAATTATATCTATAAAGTCTAGCCAATTGGCTATACTTGTAAAATATATTTAAGGCGTATAGACGTGCGGTTATACTATTAAAATCTTGGAATTTATTTTAAACGTAAAGCCGGTCGGCTATACTTGTAAAATATATTTAAGGAGTATCGCCCTATACTGTTACATATTCGAATTTATTTTAAAAGTATAGCCAACCGGCTATACGTGTAAAATATTCGAATAAATATATTCAAGGAGTATAGCCGTAGTGTATCATCTCTACTGAAAAGTATAGCCGTGCGGCAATACTTGTAAAATATTCGAATAGTTGTATCTCAAGAGTATAGCCGGACGGCGATTCTTGTAAAATATCCTAAAGCGTATAGCCGGTCGGCTATACGTTTAAAATATCGAATTTAATTTAAAAGTATAGCCAAAATCCGCCTCTTTCGACGAAAAAGATTGAAAAACAAAAACCATAACCAGAGAGAGAGAGAACTATTTCAATTTTCAATGGCGATACAGGCCACCTCGAGTTCGAGCGGAAGACAACAATGACAGACTAAAATTCCAATTCGGTATTTTCCCACTTGTATGATTTTGTATTTTGAACATCAGGCAGTAAAAATGACAGACTAAAATTCTAATCTTCTCCCCAAATGCAACCATTGACTATTCAGGATAGGTTAAACTATACATTGTTGGAATTTGAAGCAATTGAAAACACAGCTGTTGTTTTTATTTTATTTTTCAATTTCAAATAGAAAAAGAAGAGAATTCAAGGTTTTTTTGGTATTTATGCGTTTATAGTGTTTGGCATAGTGGAATTGTGAACTATTTCTACGGAGACTACTTTCAGGGAAGCTTGCAATTAATTCTTTAATCTGTCACTGTCAATGTAGTTTGGAGGGAGTTTCTGCGGAGACTATTTCTAGGGCATTTGGGGACCTGTAAAGACATGTATTCAGAGCCAAGCTAATCTTTGTGCAATTCAGGTATTGATTTAATATTCATGGCTTATGGGTAAAGCTCAATTTTCGAATACTGGATCTGGCATTTTATTTTCTTGCTCAAGTGTTTCCGTAGCTTAGCTATGTGTCATTTCCTTGTCAAATGCTATGTTGAATGGTGATAGTTTGTACGTATCACCCCTTTTCTTTTGGCCTTTCCCACAATTGCTCGGTAAACCTGGCAAAAATACGACTTCAACTTCTAATAGAAAATATATATTCTAATAGGATTTCAACTTCTTAACATGCACTCCCCACACTTGTTTATTGCTATATTTTGTCCCAAAAAGGAAAATTCATAAGTACCCTGTTTTGGTCATTGGTGAATCATAGGCAGTTAGCCTTTTGGCCTCTAAAAGATTTAGTTGTCATTATTCTGTTTCTCTCTCCTTAATCTGGTTCTTATTTTTAGTATATTAGTTTTGTTTCAAACTATGATTTCATCTGCACTTTGCAGGTTATGTTCTATGAAGGCTTGAAAGATTGAATGGAGTATGGGAAGGAAAAATAGGTATGCAATCCAAATTTCCATATTGGTAGTTCTATTTGGGGGACACCCATACTAGGAGGATTGGCTAGTGGTGATACGTACCTTGCTTATACTATGTCTTTAAGTCTTGTATAATTGGATTCAGTATTTTTTGTAGGGTAATATATTCTTGCCTTAGTTTTTTTGTAGGGCCTCAGATTTATGTCTCAAATTTTTCTACGATTGTATCACTCATTGGATGGATTATGGAAGTTAGACATGATAGCAAAAAGGTTTATCAGTTTCCATCTAATGTTTTTGTTTACTTCTGGTACGATGGGTGGTTGGATGCACAGGGGATGTTCATGTGGCAAATCCAGCTTTAGCTCTTACCTTAATGGTTGCACTACAGAATTTCCCAGAAGGATTGAGCAATGATAACACGCGAGGGTACCCTAAAGGGTGCCCCTCAAATATTTGAGGGATCCCTCAATAGAAGGAGAGAGAGTGGAAATGAAGCATTTTTTCTCGTCTTTTATGTGAAGTTCACGTCATCAGGAGGGGATAAGATTTGAAGAGTGAAGAGATTGACAAGCATTCTGAGAGAGGGAAAAGGGAGAAGAAAGAGTAAGAGAGAAGGAGAGAGAGAGAGAGAGAGAAAGAGAGAGAGAGAGAGAGAGGCCCTCTCCCTAGTTTAAAGGGTTGGTCCTAGTTTCCTGATTCTGTAGTTGATGAGCATGTGCGTACTTTTTGTTGTCTTCTGCCCAAGAGGATGAACTCGTGTGGACTAACTCAACCCTAGAAGAAGAAGAATTGAAACAAAATAACTCGTCCATAAACTTGTATGCAGCTCAAATTTGTGAGGCGGTGGTTTGAACTTTTCAATACATTGTTTTGTTTTTGTTGGTTTTAGAAAGTGTGTGTGTCCGACCAAAAGAAAAAGAAAGTGTGTCCGACCATAAGAAAAAGAAAGTGTGTGAGTGGCGTTCTGATACTACTATTGGGTTTTTAGAAGGAACAATAAAGTGATTTTATTTATTCAACAATAGGATGGATACAAAGCTTAGCTATTTGGCCTGTTAGTTGTAGCTATTGGCTAGATAGGCTATTGGCCTTTATCACTAGCTTGATTACAAACAGAAAGCTTAATGCCTATTTATGGAGGGAACAACCATTTAGTAAAGTCGGTTATTCGAGTAAACCTACAGTAACTTGTAATTCCAGCCACATATTGTAGCTTCAACTAGAACTTTCTACTAGCTTCGATTAAGTTAGTGACTAGTGTTTAGGGAATACGTCCACCGACTTTGCATTCTAAATTATCCTAGAAAATTCTGCTAGCTTATAGAAATCTCCACCAAATGTGCATTATTTTTCAACAGTTTTCTTTGCCTTTATTTAAACACACACAACACATTCTTTTCTTAGCACTAACTCTGAAGATGCTAAATCCCTTGCAAGTATTGCAAGAGCTAAATGAAAGCTCCTCCTTTTTGCAACCTTTGGACTTCACACTGCTGGTCATTTTCCTCGTCCTCCTATACACATGGGACTCTTCGACTAAAACCACCACCCAAAAGTCATCACCGCCACCTTCTCCACCAAAGCTCCCTATCATAGGGAACCTTCACCAGCTAGGCTCGTACCCTCATTGTTCAATTCAAGCCTTGTCCCAACGCCATGGCCCTCTCATGCTTCTCCACTTTGGAAGTGTCCCGGTGCTTCTTGTGTCTTCAGCTGAGGCAGCCCAGGAGATCTTGAAAACTCATGACCTCGCGTTTTCTGGTCGACCTAAGTCCACCATCTTTGAGAAGCTTATCTACAACTACAAAGATGTTGCAATCGCGCCGTATGGTGAGTATTGGAGGCAGGTAAGAAGTATATGTGTGTCAAATCTTTTGAGCAACAGAAGGGTTTGGTCTTTTCGTTCTGTGAGGGAAGAGGAAACCAAATCCATGATCAGAAACATAAATGATTCATCATCATCATCATCGTCTGTTTTGAATTTAAGCGAAATGTTTGTGAGGCTTACTAATGATGTGGTGTGTAGAGTGGCTTTAGGGAGGAAGTACAATGATGGGGAAGGTGGGGAAAGTGGGGGGATGTTTAAGAAGCTTTTAGGGGAGTTCACTGACTTACTGGGAACTGTTAATTTTGGGGACAATATCCCATGGCTTTCTTGGTTGAGCCATATCAATGGTTTGGGAGCCAAGTTAGACAAGGTGGCTAAGCAGTTGGATGACGTTATAGATACAGCAGTTCAAGAGCATATGAACCGTAGTTCAAAGAGTGGAGATGATGACCAAAAGGATTTTTTGGACGTTTTGCTTGCAATTCAGAAAGAAAACTTGGCTGGCATTCCTATTAGGCAAAATGAGTATAGACACACGGCTATACTATTTTTTTAAAGAATTCAAAAAAATAGTATAGTCGGGCGGCGAGACTATATATATATATATATCTGTGTGTGTGCATGTGTGTGTGTTTTTGTGAAAGAGATGTAACATTTAGTAGTATATATATTTATATATTTTGCAATAGGTTA